AGAACCCCATAGAAAACATCTGGCTGCTTTATGTAATTGTATATTTTATCTGTGTAATAAAATTTTTCTATTAAAAAAAAAACATCTGGCTGCGTCTGATGATTCCCAATAAGGATGAAACTGGTAATGTGGCACCTCCTAGTGGTCAGTGTAACCTCAAGATCCATTAAGTGCTTCCATCAGCTAGACATTATTTAAATGCTGGCCAGTTATTCTGCAGGAATAATTTAAAATACTCTCTTTTGGCAGCTGTTGCACTGATGCCCAGGGTTCTCTGAAGCCTGAACAGCTGTGCAACCTGTTTTACCACTGTGTTTTCAGTTGATTAAAGGAGGGTATTTTGTGTGCCAAAAGTGGCCTAAAATATTTTGCTGCCTAAAGTGGAAAATTCAAAATGGCATATATAGTATGTCATAATAAATAATTCTGTATGGTGCTGTTCTTTAGTTGCACGTAAGACCATCCTTCTTCCTCTAGCCCTTCAGGGAGAAATAGTTCTTATGGTTAATTTTCCATAATGGGCACAAGTGTCTGAGTGAGAGACCAAGTGACCAAATCTGTATGATATTGCAAGACAAGCTCTACCCCTGACATCTTTTCATCCATCATCACAATGCAAGTACAAAAGGGCAGCACTTGCATTTGACATCACAGACCACACTTTGTCATTTCAGTATCACAGTGGTTAGACCTGTGATAATGGGGCAGTGCTTTTGTTCCCTTTTGTTTGTAGGGGAAAGGAACAGGTTCAAATATTTCCCCCAGTATGAAAATTAAGGTCTTTTAAGCAATGTAACTGTACTGATTATGATGAAAGCCTTTGTTCCTATTGTGACCATCACCTCATGATAGTTGTATTAGCCAAGACAAAGCTGTTGTTTCATCCAGAATTGATCCTAAAACAAATAGTACCCTATTCCCCTACTCTGCCCACTTGGGATATTTTTCAGTGGTGTCATATTGAATGGCTGTTGTGTTCTCTCATGTGTGTTCAGCTAATCAGCGCTCCAAAATGTATCGGGGGGGGGGGCGGGTAGAGGAGAGGAACAGAGCTCCATTGTGCATAACAGGAGTTTCCCTGTTCAATTTCTGACATTCTCAGTTAAAATACCTCTTAAATAAAGGATTATCACATAGAGGATGGGGCTAAGCAGAGTGGGGTAATTCTTGGTTGGGGATGCTTGAACCTTACATCTCCTACATCAAGCAAGAAGTCATCCTAGCTGCCATCCAGAATCCTTCTAATTTTGATTCTTTGCATGGAGATCCTTCTCAATTCTGACACCTCAGATAGCAGTAAATCTGAGAAGTAGCTGACATTTCCTTCAAATTTGCCTGTTACCTTTTAAAATCCCTCAGCTTTCAATCACAGTATATTAATATGTAATGCATTATAGCAAAATTGTTGCTGTCTTAACAATGGGCTTTGCCCCAGTCAGCTCCCTTCTCCTTTTCCTGGAATAATTAATAAAATGTGAAACAAAAAAAGAATAGCTGGCTGCCAATGCAATGAAGGCTAATACACCAGCTGTGGAGGAAAAGGACCCATAAATGTTTGTTAAGACTGAATTGTTATATTGACCCTGGTATAGACCATGATTAATGCTAAGCTTGGTTTAAAATATCACAGCAGCCTCATATAATTGTGTGATCAGTGTAAGTTACATGATACACACTTTCCAGCTGCTATTTAGTTGGCACCAAAAAACAACTAAGGGGAAAACATGCAAAAAATTGCCTCTGAAAAGTTCTGCAATTCTTCCTAGAGCATATTTTAATAGCAAAACTGGGTGATTCCCACCAATGCAGTCAGTAAACCTCCAAAGCTTTTGGAAACATCAGATAAATTTGGATTGAGAAGCCAATTTTGTGGTTCCCAGGCGTTTGTGGAAAGTTAGACTAAATATCTGTCACCCGCTGTCTTGTTGCTAGTGGCTGTCTCTGAGTGATTCTGCATGATAAGGCCATTCCAAGCCACCTGGACATTCTGTGAATGCTTCTTGGCCAGGTCATGCAGAGCAAAGAGCAGAATGCAGTCCTGGAGGGAGTCTTGGCTGCGTTCCTCACCTCTGACCTAGTTCACTCTTGGAAGTGTAGCTGGTTTATCCCCACAGCATCACATCTTGCACGGATTGTAGCTGGAGCTTGTCTGGATATTTGAAGTTTTATTCTCATTTTGCCTGCTTTTACTGGGTCTGGAATACATATCAGATACTGAATTCTTCTATTGGGATCTTGCTGTGCTCATCATAACGGCAAGAGATTTGCAGTCTCTCTTTTACCTTAATGCATTCTAAGTCACATTAAAACTTTTATTTAATTTGACACTTTATTTAATTTGACACAGTTTGACAGAGAGAAGAAGTGGGCTTTAAGCACTTTCCCAATCTAAATTTGCTAACTTGTTTCTATAAGGACTTGATATTGCTGCCAATGAACTCCATGTCTGAAAACTATGTTATGCCTTAAGGGATTTTATGGGATATATTAGTCGTGCAGATATTGATTACTTGTGCATTTAATCTGCTAAGTAATGAATATTTTCTGAGGTTATATAACAAGAGTCCAGGAGTAACCAAAATAAAGCCCAAGAACAATAGTAATCAGCAAAGAAAGTTGAAAAATATAACATGTATAATAATAGTCAATCCAATAGTGGGCATTTACTTGTAAATATCTTTGCAACAAGTCAAATTTTATTAATGGGGGAAAAATTCCTTCCAATAGGGAAGGAATACGTGTCCTCACAACTAGCTCTCAATCTCTTAATGGTCTTTAGTGAATGCCTTGTGGTAGTCACCCCTGAAATGTATAAAATGAAGTGCTACTAAATATATATTTCATATTTCTTTTCCTTTATATTCTGCTTAATGAACAGCATTGTGGAAGAGTGCATAATTGTCTTACTCTGCTACAAACGCAAGTTGGTTCTATGAAGCAGATCACCTTCTCGATTTTGTTACCAGCCTTCCCAGCCTCTTTGGCCCTTCAGATATGTGGACTTGAACGCCCTGAATTCCTTTGTCAGCACATCAAAAGGGACCCAGATGGGGAAAGCCTGCTGCAGTTTAGTTTACCAGTTTAGACCAGTGTTCCTCAACCTTGGCAGCTTGAAGAGGTGTGGACTTCAACTCCCAGAATTCCC